CAAGCAAGCAAGCAAGCAAGCAACAATTCCCAACACCCCAACCCAACACCCACCCACACCGCCATCGGAGTCTTTCATCCGACCCAGCAGCCTGCACACTCTCACATCCCCCAGTTTGCTTGAACCAACATGTGCACCGAGTCACTTGCCCTGCCCAGCATAATCGTCGCGTTGGCAGCTCGCGAGTCGTAGCGCATCGCCGCTTTGCGCGCGCATGACACGCCTGGCTGCACATCAGATTGCGCAACATGTCGCGGTGGAGACGTTGACAGAAAACGGTGCGCGCGGAATCCACTTGCCGAGCGGCGAGGTGTAGGGCGAGGTGAAACGTCGTCTCGAGACGTAAAGGGGGGGAACGAGGCTGTGCGCGCGGTGGGTGGGTAGGCTTGATGATAGTGGATACGCGGTTTTCTAGAACTTGGAGAGGAGATGGTTTATGCAAGGCGAGTTCTAGATGTGCGAGGAGGTGGGGGAAGGGGTGGTGTTGGTGTGGGTAAGTCGGTGTGTATGCGCACCAGGTGCAGGTGAAACGAGGACATCCTGTGTGTCGGTATCGAGTTGTTAGAAAGCTGCATGGACAAAACGTTGATTATCGGTGAAGTGTGTGGTGGAGAAAGGTCGATGCGAGTAAGTACAATGCTGTGCTATCTTTGGACTACTTCCTCAGACGTGTCATCTCGCTGCTGACCTTGGACTTCTCATGACTTCAGACTTGATTGAGGTGGGCTCTAATGTCCGGGCGGATTTGAGCGCAGTAGAAGGAGATCGTCAGTGGGCCGGCTTGTCAGGAACCCACTTGGTAGTGATATGGGCAGAACGTGTTCAAGTCGAACATGTGCGGCGAACGACGTAACTTCGCTTTGGAGATGACGAATTGAGAGACAATACGCACTCGGTAAAGTCATGTGGTAGACTCATAGCAAGACAATTTGTTCACTGATACCTAGCCAAGATTTCACTTCGCAATTGCGTGTTGACTGGACCTCAACCGTTACACTCGTCTATTCAGCTGGCTAAATGATGTAGCAGGCTTCGCTTTGCTCATTCTACTACACACTGTGAGAGGAGCAGATTCTGTCGGGACCCATGACATAGAGAGCTCAGTGGTTTGTCGTTTGCTCCAATAGTATAGTGTAAGAAGCTGCGACCTCAAGACTGCATTCGGTTTTACATCCGACTTCACAAGAGGTGTGCAAGTGTAGTCACAGTCTCTTTGCCGGGTGTGCATTCTTTAACACTATCGTGACACAACATGTCATTGACGAAGGTAGGGCCTGACGGTGGCGAGTATTCCGTTAAAAGGCAAGTCATTGTTTCGACAACTTGACGCGTCGACAATAGAAGATGCTGGTGCTATGATACTGGACCATTGAGTGAGAACGGAAGTAATGTATGAAGGTTCAGTGAAGTATGCGCAAGTGCCAGTGGAGGATGCCACCATGAAAGCAATCATGAAGAATCACAAGGCTGCTCAAGGGAGTGAAAGTGCTCATCTCTTCGTACATATGGGAAACTATGACGCTACCCCGAGCTTTCCAGCGTTTCCAGCTCTTTCCTCTGCTCCTTCCTCAAGGACTGTTTGCACGGCGCTCGTGTGTCTTGGCGATTATCTTCCACGCTCCTCCAGTATCGCCCCCTCTCCCCTTCAGCAGCTACGCCTCCGCCACCCCGGCGCGACATCTTGCTTGCCCAAGTATCAACTACGGCTAACCCCCACAGCTATGGCCCCGACGAACAATACACTGACACCGCCAGCCATGTTGACTCCATTCGCCGAGAGTCTGATTGGCCAACAACCCCCCCACCCAGAGCTACTCGAAACGATCTTAATCGAGGTATTCAAAGACGTTGGGACCATATTTGAGCGCCCCAACCCCCATAGTAGCAGATCGACCATATTGCGCAACCTTCAAACTCGGTCGGTGGACCTGCCATTCCGAACCGTATGCACTACCTTTCGCAACCTGTCCTGACGAGTCCTCTCTAACAAACTTGAGCATACCATCTTCGACCTGGTATCAAGGAGCAGCATCGAGAGCCTGCAAGCGATTGCTCGAAAGCCAGAATTGGTTCCATGGGTCACATAACTCCATTTCGCTTGCCAGACTACGTTCATGTACTATCCGTTTCAAGAAGATGCCGAACTCTCTTTCAGCGACCAAGTAGCAATGCTACCCGTGAGTGCGCGTGAAGAGTTGCTCCAGATCAAGAAGAATGAGCAGGACTGGCACCCGAACACGTGGTCATTGTGGTCAGATAAGATAGCTTCTTATGGCAGCGATGATTACAGTGTTCATAATCTGAGCCGCCACAAAGCCAGGAACCACAAGTTTGAAGAGGATCTAGCGAAACTCTTAACATGCTTCAAAAATGTCGATTGCTTGCACTACCTCCACGAACCTGCCGCTATTCCAGGAAGGTACCGCGACCTCTTCAAGAACGAAGATACGTTTCGAGAAGCTATCCCTTCGTCTTTCAGAGGCTCGGGGTCAGACCTCAACGCTCATCTTGGATCGGATGTCATACTGACGGCTTGCGCCCTCTCAGAATTGCGACCTTGTGTTCTGGAATTAGCCGTCGACCTGGATGAATATCACGCCTTTGTCACCTCTTTGCCTCAGGAGGTCCTTTCGGCAGTCTCCAGTCGAGTGGAGGACCTGCAGCTATTCGACAGTTGTCGCGGTATAGATCAATTATATCATGAAGCAAGAGCTAGTTTCTGCTTCAACAACAGTTTCTGTCCATTCTATGGCTACTACGATGCACAGACACAGATGCCGGGGGGAGTCATCACGAAAGAGGTTTTCCCTGCTCTCCAATCGCTGACGATCGACCATATGAGCGGTATGCCAGGCTCTTATCTGTCCGTTGCACCCGTACCATCGCTTTCAGATTTACCCAAGATCACGCATCTCGCTGTCAAAGGTACTCGTCAGACCGAAGCTACTCTTCTTGCTTTCGTAGAACGGCACGGAAAGGACCTTCGGAGCGTAACACTGAAGGGCATAGCGGAGGACAGCTACGATCTCATGCTCAATGTCTTGAGGCAATTCAACTTGAAAAAGCTCAAGATCGTGCACGTTACCGATAAATATTGGAACGTAATCAAAAATCGTTTTATCATGGTCAATGACCTTTTCGAAGCTCTGCAAAAAGACCGTATCAGAGATGTCGCAGACGAAACCATACTGCAGCACGAAGGTCTTGTAAAGGCGCTGGAGAAGTACAAGTTTGTTCAAAATCAAGATGGAGGTAAATCAGAGGACGAGGAATGAGCGCAAACATACCCTGGGATGGAATAGGTCGCTGGGCGTGCACTTATCTCAATGTTCTCTCAGAGCTCGACCATACAGACGATACAGGGTGTACTGAATCATTCACGATTCAAGATGTGCATAACAATTAATTGAAAGGAGCTAATTTTGGCTGATTGTGCCTGTCATTATTTATAAATGCTCCCAACGCGATATATACACATCCAATGTGCTGTCAAAACTCGTGACGTCTTCATTTCTTCTCGCTCGCCATGCTCAGGCGTTGAAATGCGTCTTCTCAGCTCCAACCGTCGCACTCTCGATGACCTCCTCATCGCTATCTGCGAACGCCTTGTCTCCGAACGCGACCGCAATCTCCTCAAGGGTACATCCGGCAGTTTCAACGTAGTAGAAGTGACTCAGACCGGCCGAAAAAAGACAGAAGCCCGCAATAACAATATAGAAATATCCGCCAATACCAGCGAACGCATCTGGTGAGACCATGCCGATGATGAAGTTGAAGATCCAGTTGGAACTGAATCGATGTTAGCACATGTCTCACATCGAGGACTTGAATAGAACTTACGTAGTAGCGAGCGCCATACCCTTCGAGCGTCCACGCAACGGAAAGATTTCCGCAGGTAAAAGCCACGGCATCGGACCCCAAGTGAACCCGTAGACAATGTTGTACAGCATAATGAATGCATACTGCCCATTGGCTCTGGTCGTAACACCCATATCGGCCTCAGTGAACACACAAACAATGGCAAGTAGGACAGCCATCGCGACACCACCGAGGAGAAGAAGTGGCTTTCGGCCCCAACGATCGGCGAGCCACCATGTTACGACGGTTGCTGCGGTGTAAGGAATGGCATTGGCGGCGGTGTAGAGAAGCGATTTCTTGTCGTCAAATCCGGCGGAGGCGAGTGTGCTGGGGAGGTAGAAAGAGATGATATTGATTCCGTTGAGTTGGGCGAACATTTGAACTGTGATGCCGACGATTGTACGCTTGCGGTAGCGAGTGAACATTTCCTATAATAGTCAGTATGTCTTTGAACACAATCTGAGAGTGGATAAAGTGCACACCTTCCAGCTCGACTTTCCAAGCTCTGACTCGTACACAACGGCTTCCTGGATCTCGAGGAAGACCTGCTGAACATGTTCTGCGTTGATGTCGCCATCCGAGTGCAAATCTGCAACTGTTTGGAGACTTTCTTTCATGAATCCGTTCTTTGCAAGCCATCGAGGAGTCTCCGGGAGGAAGAAAGACATGACGATAAGTATGAAGGAGAGAAGGATTTGAATGATGAAGGGTCCTTGCCAAGACATGTGATCCGGAAGCATGAAGTGAAATCCGTAGTCGACCCAGCATGACAACATGTAACCGGCGATCAAGCAAGTGTACTCAATTCCCACCATCAAACCTCTGGCATGCGGTGCGGCGATTTCTGTTTGGATGATTGGGACAGTCATGGAGAGGAAGCCAACACCGAGACCCTGAATGGTCCTACCAGCGACGAAAGTGGCAAAGCCCGGAGCGAAGATTTGGATGAAAGCGCTGAAGAAGTAAATGAAGCCACCGAGGCGAACTGTTCGCTTTCGACCAATGATGTCGCCGAGTCGTCCGGCAACCAGAGCCCCTACAGCAGCGGACGCTTGAAGACAAGCAACCGAGATACCAGTGATAGAAGGGCTCACAGCGGCCGTGCTACCGTTCGCGCCGCCGTAGTCGCTGAAGAAACGCTTCACGAAGACGGGATTCACGAGCAGACCCGACATGATACCTGAAAAAGTTAGTAAATCATAGCATTGAGAGTTTCGTGCAAGTCATACCAGAGTTGTAACCAAACAGCGCATCTCCCAAACTTCCAAACCCGCATGTTGCATAAAGCAAAGCAGCTCCCTTGATCGGATACCTCGCAGCAACTTTGCTGGGCTTCAGCTTCTTCTCGATCCAAGTCGCCTCCGCCTCGACCTGCTGCGCAACCTTGTCCGCCCGCTGCTTGATATTTGCGTTCTGCACCGCGACAGAATTGCTTCGAGAAGCCATATTGACAAGATCACAACTGGAGAACAAACTTGAAAGTAGAAACGCAGCTGGAGCTGTGAGGAACCAAAATACCGGGGATCTCAAGGCCCTTTTCTACCCCAGATTCCTACCCCGTGGAGTATGCCTTACCCTGGTATATGCTCCATGGATAATCGAAACTTTCGGTTCCGGTCGATTTCTGCAGTCGAGGATACGCTGGTGGGCGTCATACGATGGACGCGCCGAGTATGAGATGTGGGGCGCCACAAACGCCAATTCCTAGCAAGCTCTTACTTCATGGGCTGGGGTGCGCCCAGCGCTTTGCTTGATCTGGAGGGGAAACTCATCGGAGCCGATGTTGAGGTGGATCGTGCGGTTCGGCGCGGCCAATAGGATGTTTCCGTTTGGCCGTTTATCTGAGCCGCCGGAACCGGTGGACGATCCGATGTGCAACTAAAGATCTCGACCAGGAACCGCTGCGCTACGGATGTTTGGCTGACTAGGAACCGTGGATGAGGATGAATAGAATGTACTTCAAGATGCTTCAATTGAATGATGGGCAAGTTACAGAAATTACAGTATATCTCATTTCTCTGATAACTCAACTTCCCAGATGTCGACCACGATGGAAGCTGTCGAAGCTGAGCAGTCCAGCATTGCCAACATGGAAACCACATCTCTTCCGGAAATGAATGAATCATTCGTCTTGAGCCCGGAGAGGCAGTTCAGTTTCGAAAACCGATCGATACCTGCTCTGCGAACTTCTAGAGATGTTCGCGTCAGGATTATAGCTACCGGTCTTTGCGGCTCCGATGTACGTAACACTACAACCATTTAAAAAACACGTGCTGAGCAAGTTGCAGATACATTATTGGCAACATGGTCGCATTGGACCGTACGTTGTCAACGGCCCAATCGTCCTTGGCCACGAATCTGCTGGCATCGTCGAATCGATTGGGAATGATGTCAAGAACCTTCGCGTTGGTGACAGAGTCGCCCTGGAGCCCGGAGTAGGCTGCAATATCTGCGAAGCTTGTCGGATAGGCCGTTACAACCTGTGCAGTTCGATGCGTTTTGCCGCCACTCCTCCACACGATGGCACATTGTCGACGTTCTATTGCTTGCCCGAAGAGTGCTGCTATAAACTGCCAGAGCACGTATCGTTCCAAGAAGGCGCACTGGTAGAGCCGCTTAGCATCGCTGTACATTGCTGCGGACTGGCGGGGAACCTACAAGGAAGAAGCATAGCTGTGTTTGGTGCTGGTCCTATAGGTCTCCTATGTGCCGCTGTAGCAAGCGCTTTTGGTGCGGCGACAGTCGTTGCTGTAGATATTGTAGAGTCGCGGCTCGAAGTCGTGAAAACTTTTGGAGCTACACATACTTACAAGATGCAGAGCCTGCTACCTGAGCTGAACTCCATCCAATTACTGGAGCAATCCGGCTGTAAAGAGGGCGTGGATGTTGTCATCGATGCTACTGGGGCAGAGCCATGTATCGAGTGCGGAGTATGGGCATTAAAGCGCGGAGGAACTTTTGTCCAGGCTGGTCTCGGATCTCCCCGCATTGCATTTCCCATCGGTCAATTATGCGACAAGGAGGCTGTTCTGAAAGGCAGCTTTCGCTATGGGCCAGGCGACTACAAGCTCGCGATTTCGTTGCTCGAGTCAAGACGTATTCGGTTGGCAACTCTTATAACCCATGAATTTCCGTTTTCGGAAGCCGAGAAGGCATTCAACAACGTCCATGAGCGGAATGGTGTCAAGAGTATCATTTACGGCCCCGGTTTGGATGCTCATACAGCATGCGCATGTCCGCCTTAGTTTTAGATAGAAAGCTCTCTTCCTCTCATGACGGGCGCGATTCAGACCAGGCAGAGTTCCAGAACCAATAGAGTCCGTTCCCAGTAATGTCGTAGCCTTCATCCGCCCAGCTGGATTCATCGCCAAGTCCATGTAGATCGGGATTGAACCAGGTGTCTGGTTCTGAGAAGACCTGACCAGGACCACTGTGACCGTGTTGGGGTTCATACAGGGGCATGTTGGGATCAATGATCGGTCCTTCTGCGGACAAGGGAAGCACTATATATAGTATACACGTTAGCCAATATTGGAAAATGAATGTTGCGCCTGCGACTTACCTCGTTGGAGCGATGCAAGGCTCTCATTCAAGCGTAATGTCTTGTCTGTTGGAGCTTGGCCTTGATCTGGTCGGACATTCGTGTTGCTCATGGGTAAGTGCATTGGTAGTCGAAGGGTGTCTTCGACGGACATTAGTGGTGCCTCCGAAACAATTTGTGCGGAGCTTTCGCCGCTAGCAACAGGCCTGTCACCACCAAGGACAGGTTGAAGCATAGCATCCGATTCGCGCTGTAATAGCATCTGGATGACATCCTTGAGAACGACATTACTTTGCATGGAAAGCTCAGTCTTCTTTCCCAGTAGTTCCTGCAATCGAAAGATCCGGGTGATGCTTCGTTTCACTTCTTGTGCTCTGTCGGACAATGGATCAGTCAAAGCCAACACCGCCATGACAATCGCGGAGTTGAACAGATTGATGGCCAGAAAAGCAACAAGATGACTATCCGTTGCGAGCTGAGCAAGTTGCGGCATCTGGGTCACTTTCGATGTTCGCAAGGCCGCATCCCACCACTGCTCGTTGCTGGACGCTTGTGAGACCGATAAAGGACTGTAAGCATTATTTGAGAATAGTGGCGAAGCACCGGAAGCTGAGCGCTGAACGCTTGTTGGCGAGGGTGTAGAGACGTGGCCAAGTTCAGGCTGGTTACGGATAAGGTGATCGACGTGTTGCGCCAATGAAGGACGATGGAAAATAATAAGCAGGTTGTCAAACGTAAGTTGTAGCGACAAAGCCTGCAACTGATGGACCCTGGAGGTTCGTGGAGCATTTGGTTCGCAATCAGAGCCTAGATCTAGGCAGAGGTGAGGCGGAAGTCGTCTGCGCCATGCCCACAATCGGTCTGTCGCGTCCATAACCTTGGCTAGATAGTGTTGAGCTGCGATGGGGTCGTCCCATCTCATGGTTCGCATGCCAAAAATCGTTTCTATCACCGGCGATGCAGTGAGATAGAGCTTGTTCAGTTCCCTTTGGTACGAGGAATAACAAATGGGAGAAGTGTCATCTGCTGTTGTCCTTGGCCTAAAACATGGAGACTCAAAGACATCTTCCGGTTGCGTAACATTGCAGTCTTTCTCGTTTATTCCAAGTGGCCGACCATAAGTCACCGAGGCGAATCTACATTGGTCAGACGCAGCTACTTCAAGGAGGATCTTAATGAACTTGCCTGTCCCAGGTGTAGATTGTCCACCACACACGTTTTCTTTCTTCGGTGCTAGCGACATCACCACGCAATGCTTGGCGATGCAACCCAATAGCCTGTGCTGTTCTAATAGTTGCTCCTAAAAGAGAGAAAGATAAGTTGGGTTTGCCGTGGTAGACGTAATACGAGCCTAGGAGAATGCATGCTTGCACTGATGCAACGGAAGCTTGGTCCATCAACTCCGTGAGTCGAGACCCCGCGCCGTCGACTAAAGAAGATGCGATAGCCCTCCAATCCACGTGATCAGGATTTTGGACCTGCTTGTGAGACTTGTACCACGCCCCCATACCTAGAACCACGGAAAGCAAGAGGAGGAAGCTTCGTTGCGATGGATATGCGAAGCCGTCCATGACTGATTCAAGCTTGGGCCTAAATATGGGCTCGTGAATGACCAAAGAAAACCAGTGGACAGCTTCGAAGTATTCTTCGAGTAATAGAAGTGTGGTTTCTGCTGATGGTAGTGAGTAGCCGATAATGGACAAGATGGGTCGTCTCTGAGTTCGATCTGCGCGAGTTGCTGGAGGTTTTCCGTACACATCGCCACCCGGTATTGCAGAAGTTGTTCTTCGAAGCACAGGTGTACCCTGGCCACTCAATTGATATATCTAGTAATTTCGTATGAGTTTGTGTTCCAGTATGAAATGAAGATTGAAAGCCCACCTTTTGAGCGATACCCATCGCTGAATCGACCTGAGCCTCGGTCACACTTTGTCTCCGACTTTCTGCATCTTGAATGACTTCAGTTTGGGGTTGGCCGGCTGTATCGTGTCTGTCGTTGCTGGTTTCTTCGAGTCGTTGACTGGGCGGAGCTTGAGAAGCCGTCCCTTTCACGCTCAGCGCTTCCGGAGGTACCGTCTCCTCACAAGATGGGCCCTGAGTTCGTTTTCTCTTGGCAGAACGGGGTTGCTGTTCATAATTACCAGCTACGCACTCGACATTCGCACGAGTGCAAAGAGAACATGGACGGTACGGATCGCATCGGCTCTTGTTCCGCCGGCACCTGTCGCATGCATTGCTGACTCTCGTCGGTAGCTGGCGACCTCCGGATAAGTTGGACGACATTACAAACGAAATTGCATGGTCGCACAATGCTAAATACGGTGGAGACACTTGAGCATTCTCAAGAAACTGCAGATGTTGTTCGGACAAGGCAGACCTCTCTACTCCGACTTGGGCTTAGCGCAATTTCTCCACACGTCCCACATTTGCAAGGTTCGTCACCTCGGGAGCGATGGAATTTGCCCGAGCTGTGTCCGTTGACGATCCGTGTGGTGGTGCGCCTGAAATGCGCCTGCGCGGATGTTCCAATATAACTTCCACAAGGATTGCAAACAGATCTTGCCTGCAACTATCGGTCCGCAGCGAAGATACGAGAATGACGTTAATTTTGTGCCCGTAGAGGCACCGCAGAGCACCTGACGCTGCAACAGCGGCACATAACGAAGCATCAACTATCATAATTCTTCATTTCACAAGCCAACAATCTAGAATCGGCAACTCTGTGATGCTGATAGGTAGAATTGTGGAAAAAAAGAGGTTCTGAGCGGCCTAAGCTAAGTCGAAGGCTGAAAATAAGGACCATGGCTGTACTCGTTGCGGTGAAGGGCACGGAAAACTCCGTTCGGCTTTATAGCTCATATTGATGTTGCTGATCGGTACTATCTTGAAGCCTAGCGAGCGCGAGGCAATAATGAAGTCGAGTAGGAAATGCGCGTGCACTTTGGACAATCCGTCGCCTCGAATTCAACACACTCGTTGACTTCCGCGCCGACCATCCTACCACATTGCGATGCGCCCAAAATTTCCGTACTGAGGATGCCCTCGAGAAGAGACCGAGAGCCCCAAATAAGACAGTTCGCAAGATTGAGAAGAAGAATGGTTATGATTGTACATCGTCACACGCTAGTTAATCTAAACACGAGCTTTGTACCCCGAGTAGAGATCCATGCTCAGCAGCGTAGTGCACTGATCGCGAAAATACTGCGTGTTAGTTCGTGCCTTCATAGAACGATACCTTGGTAGTCCCAAATTGCTAGATAGCAAACGGAACGGGGCAGAACTATTATGGAAGTCACAGAGAGCTTTTTTGGTGTCGCACTGTAGCACTCTGTTGGCATCAGAGCTGTTCATGTCAAAAACCGACTCAAAGATGTATTGTCGTGAAAGCGGTATCGTTGTATCGAACGTCATGATGTCTTGTATGGCTACTGGAGGCGCTTTGATCCATTGCTGGAAGATGCGACGTGACTTGGATACCGAGATATCTTTGCTTTGGCCGCTCGTAAGAGCGCAAATTACTTCGTAGTTGAATCTTTCGAGGTTTTCGGAGTTGATGCTGTACAATATGATGAGATGGTATCCTTGAGTTGGAAATATGATCGATCCACTGTTACAATTAGGAGGGAGGAAATACTCTTCCCAGCCGTCGTCAAATTTCGAGCTAGCGAAAAGCTCAGGGTCGAAGAATGGTCGATCAAATGGCCTTTTGCCATCTTCTTCATTGATGCGGAACTTCACAACCTTTTGACTCCAGAATTGTACACTATGCTCCAGCTCTTGCCTCATGAAGATGGTCTCTGTGGAAGCTTGGGATAGAGTGGAAGGACGAGAGTATCCTAGTGGACCAATGTGCCTGTGATCTCGAGCGAAATTTCGGCTTTGATGTATTTTAGGAAGCGCTGGATTATATGAACTGTGAATAATAGGAAGCGTGATTCTTGCGGGGTTGCGCTCCAAGGTGGTACACTGTAAGATTGCTAAATATTCTGTATCGTTGATTCTCACAATAGGAAGATCGATCCTGAGTCCTTTGTTGGTCATTGAATAAGGTGTGGGATTTGCAGAGTCCTGGAGTGGTAGTAGCTCGCTGCACCTACGGAATTGGAAGGGAGAGGTAGCCAAAGGTCCACAGGGCATTCGACCGAGAGCCCCAGATCTCTTCTCAAGCTCCCACGCGAAGAGAGTTTGGTCATCGGACTGTGTCATTATCTCCTCCTAGGCAGTATCAGTAACGAGTCCTGGTCGTCCATTTACGACATGGAAGCTTCATACCTGAAGGCGGATGAATGATCTCTCACCCTCTCCATACAGCAGAGGCATGTTGACCCCAAAGATTCCGAGAAGAGAATATGCTCTGTCCTCAACACGGGTTGTTTCACGTTCGGCAGCCCATGACATGCGATTTGCAACGCTGCAGCTCCTCACATCAGAGCCTTCGAGCACTTTGCGATCGATGGGTGTCCTGTAGACAATCAACTGGAGTAGCGTCGATTTCTTTCCGAGTTGCTTCCATTGCTGCTTTTCGTCGTGACCAAAGAACTTGACGACCCGCGGAGCTATGAGCTCTTGTAAGGTCCAACCTCTCGTCCACCACTTGCTCGATAAGAATTGACGGCCTTCGACCGAGATTTCTGGATCCTGCATTCTTTCCATACTGTTATCCTGCCCACTAAATTCTACATCCGACAGATAGGCATAGCACGCCGCAGAGTTTTGGTACCACTGGTACATAGAGTTTATGGCCTCGGAAAGGTCCGCGCTAGAGGACTTATCGATACAGCAAGTATCAACCCATGCATATGCCAGTCCGTCTGTTACTGCTTGCTGACAGCATCTCTGGATTTTTGCGAACCCCACTTTCTCCTGACAAACATCCGGTCCGCTCCGCAGATCTTGATACGTTACTTCTTCTTTCTCCCAACGATGAGATAGAATGGCATAAGGCGGGATCTGCGAGCCCTGAAATTCGTGGATTTCTAGCGTTTTGGTATCGAGCAGGCGCATTGTGGTATTTAAGCTAACGTCAAGGGCTGAAGTGCGCAAACGTTGTAGACGGATATCTGCATGAAGGCGATGCAGAGAAATCGAAAGAATTGAGCTAGATGCTCATCACATCTGATGCATATTGCAGAACATGCGCGCAGTTGACCTAGGAAGCTGACGACGTGACGGGATGAGGCTCGGATATTAAGAGCTGCCTCCGCGAGGTTACAGGGGGTGGCGCCTAAGTTAGTCAGAGTGGGGCGGGCCTGCAATGCAGCCTCGCCACTGCCAAAAAATTCCGCCAGCAGTGTTTTTCCTTCGTTGATATAGTAGCAGAGAGATGAGATATTGGCTAAAGCCTCGTCACTGTTGCGAGTGTCATATGCCCTCTTCAGCGCATTATGTGAGTAGTCTTAGTCGCCCAGAAAATGACCACCATTCTTTGAGGGTGCAAGGTTAGTAGTCTGGTTGGAGGAATGACAATCATAGGACCTGCTGATAAGCCATGATTTCGACGGTAAGTCGATGTATCTATCTTGTATTCAGAGTTGCTTAGACAGTATCCCCGTCGGAACAGTTTTTTTCACATTCGATATCCTCATCATAAAACATGTCGACATTTTCATGTTCATTATCGTTGCTTGCGACCAATTTGCTTTACTCCAGGGTCGCTAAGTCGAGGGACCGAGGCGCTGAGTTGTCTTCGACTGAATATTGGATCTGTCCCTGCACCTTTCTGATCGAACTTTTGTCCCGCTGAAACATGACCGGCATTGACTCTTCTACTGATTCCACCGTGGCGGTTTCTTTAAATGAGTAGGAGCTTTTCGGGTGTACGCCTAAGAGCACCTTAACGGGCTCGGATTGGTGCTCTGACCCGGACTCGCCCGGACTGAGCAGCGTGACATCGGCGTCATGAGAAAGGGAGCTTGGAATATGCAGAATGCTTCGAGTGCTCGTATTCCCTTCAGTGTCAAAGGCTTCCTGAACGACGGATCCATCGTCCTTCGACTGTTGCACGATTGATAATACTGGCGTGCCAGAGGAATTGAGCATAAGCATCGCTGTGTCACTTGGCTGAGCTTGTAACGATGCCTCTCTGATGAGATCTGCTCGGCTAAACTGTTGCAAATGCTGCAACACGGAATTTGCTGAGTCCAATATCTGTGACTGGGCTGGTGCAGTTGATGGCTTTCCAAACACTTTCTGGTGTGACGCAAGGCTCAAGATAACTACTCTTTCTTTATCTGCAACACTCTCAAACCCATATAACAGATTTCCTGAGTCTGCGATGCGAATGTTGCTCAATGCAGCATTGTGTATTTGAACATGCTCTTGAAACACCTCATGCATGGTTGAATGAAGTAGAGAACGGAAGTTCTAAAGGTACGTCCCCGAACCATACTAGTAGACGATTTGCGGCAATGTGGGATGAAAGTGCAATATCGGGTCGGTGTTTGACCATGACCAGTTGTCAACTCTGGGGTCAGGCTGAAGTGAAATACTAATTTAGCGAAAGGAAGCATAACGGGGTGGACAACTAACAGTGATGTTTTTGCAGGCTACCCAAACAAACTTCGGCTTTGTAGGACTTCGTCGTCATCTGGGATCCTGGACTATGTCTACAGCAAGCGATCCACGCCCGTGACGTAAGAGGAGCAGATACTCACCCCCAGGGCTTAAGAATAGCTTCCACAGTGAATGCGAGGATTCAGACCTTTGGAAGCCAGAACGATCTCTAAGGAAATTGAGGGTGTGTTTGGTACACTGAAATATTGGACCTTCGTATGCGATACTCACGGCTAATTTCAAGAGCAATGTGCCTATCACGACCTCCATGAGGGTTGTGCTGATTGATGTCTCAATAGAAAACTCCTCATTTCTCTGATGAAATAGGCCTAAGTTCTTGCGACCTATCATGATAACATTTCTACGTGGAACATCGACCGTGGTTTCGAAGAGTAGTTGATCGTCACTCAGAGATCGTATTTCGTAACTCACTGTAAGGAGGGAGAATTCAGCTGGCGTGTCGCTTTCGTAGATGTAATCCACATTACCATTGATATCAGCCGTAAGCAATGATCGACTACAAAAATGATCGACTACAAAAATGATCGACCTACTCTGAGCGGTACTGAGCGTGCAGTACACCGATCGCATGCCCGGATAATGAGCATTTCGTCTGCAGAACAACGGAATTCTGGTCATGGGCGATGTTCGATGGTATGCTTGAAGTTCGCGCTGCAGTCGAAGTCTTCCGAAGCTTCGATTCAGAGAAAGCAGAGATGCTTGGCTGCCACAACTCTTCTGGATACTTTTTAAGAACATTGCTCCAGTACTCGACAAGCTTTGTGTGTTCTTGAAAGGCCAAATGAAGCAGAGAAACGGCGCTTTGTACTGGGCTTTTAGCTGAGAAGTGCTGAAGACTCTCCCAGCCAACGGACTCGATCACCCACGCTTCTTGTGGACAGCCCAAATGCCCTAGCGCCTCAGTCCAGGAGGTGAATTGGGTTTTTTCAGACAAAAAAGGCGTAGTGCGCTGGCCGAGCTTTTCAAAGACTTCAAGATAGTTAAGGTATGCCGGATCCGAAGATCCTTTCGTGGCTTCTCGAAAATGCGCAGACCAAGATTGTGTTGCGTATCGCTTTCTCGAAATTGGAAATGGTGTCAGCTTCATTGAAAGCTTTGTCATCCATTTGAGCGATGGCAGCCTGTAATTCGTTCACCTTAAGCGGTCGGTAAGCGCCGACAACCCATGATATCGCTCGTCGAATATTGGGGCGCGAGAGCCTTGGATACTCTTTCTCGATGTACGCAAGGATAACATCATACAGACTGAAAACTCCGTCGAATTGTTGGACTCTTCAAGTGCTTCGCATCTCTGTGACATGGAGAGGGAGGGCAACTTGAGATATCCGAGAAACAGTGCAGCCCACAGGAACATCCCGTTTGATCGACGGCAAATGCTGGACACGATGTCATCAACAGAGCTGTTCTTTGAAAGGACTAAGTCTTCACTATCAACGAGTTCCTGGACCCGTGGTAATGCGAAATTTATCACATCTTCAAGGTTCTGCGTAGGGTCCATTCCAAGACTTTGCAGCGATTTTGAAGTGCTTTGGGGACCTTGATGGTCGGACGACTAAACAAGAAGAACTGGTATTATTCGTGGTCAGTAGCAAGTTGACTCACTTTTGCCAAGAAGTTATCCCGATCTTTGCATTCATCCACGCCATCACACACTAGGTCGCAGGTGCTGAACTGCACAAGAAACAGATGGAGTATCCTGAAGATCTCGTCGTTCGAGGCCAAATGCTGCCCAGTATCGTAATCGGGCCGTGCAATTGCAGCGATGTCGAGGACTATTTGGTCGAACCGTCGGCAGAATATCAATTGGGCTAGGAGAGCCCGAAAAGCGTCATATGAAGAGTCGAACCGGCTTTGTCTATCAAAAAAGAAGAAGGCGAGAGAATCGGGACGGTTCTTCCTTCTCAACAAAGCCATTTCTCTTGAGTGGTCAATTACAGCAGTCGCAAGGGTAGTTTTGCCATAGCCCGGCTTTCCTATTAAACCCGTTAGCATAGTGACAGAACTAATCAGGTTCAAATGCTGGCAATACTTACCGTATAAGAATAGAACGTTTACTTGTCTCGCAGATGTTGTACTGTTGTTCTCTATGTGTTCCGCCATAAGTGGGTGGGCTAACAACCATTCGCACGACTCCTCCACCCGATGAATCCTTGCGTGCTCGAATGCACTAGCCCAAACAGGACTACCCACTCTTCGTTGAAGTTCAGAAATTGCAGTATCTTCGATGAAGGTTAGCGATGCACAAGTCAGCTGGGTCCTCCCATCTACACACTCATCAAAGTCTTGTCATTGTCATTTCTCTTGCCCTGCGACCGCTGCTGGTTTTGCACCTGATCCAAACGTGCATGCACCTTCGACATATGAGCCTCCCATTTGCTGTAGAATTCGAGAGCCATGATTGCTGACGTTGTATTCGCGAGATCACGGAACAATGTTGAGTGTATTTCAACATTCTCGATAGTTTCAGCAAAGTGCGCGTCGAATGGTTTGAATGCCATATTGCTGAAAAGCTTCCATTTGGGGTTGAAACCTATATTTACATATCAGATCTTGAAACTCGGTCTTAGAAGAAGATGTCGTAGGCTCACCTTTCTGTTGTGGGTGGAGAAGGGTGCATATTCGACGACAGAATTCTAATATATCGTTATAGATCCATGCCAGTGCTTGAGTAAGGCGAGGCCTGAATTCCGTAGTGGACATGAGCTTGTTCTCTCGGAGCTTTATCATGAATAATTGAAAGTCAGGCATAGTAGTTGTCATTAGGGGAAGCATAACCTCGATTTTGGACAGGAAGGTGGTGTAGATTTTGGCAACCTACACAAGCGCGTGAACACAATGGCATGCAGGTGATTCAGCCTTTCGTTCAAGAAGAATGAATCGCAGCGTACCCCATACCAAGGCAGCGTATTCAGGATGGCTCTGTATATAGATGTTGACAACTTCAAAGTACGGGCCCGTTTTATCGGCAAGCTTCGCAGTTACTTTCATGGCGCGCCTGGTTTTGACTGAACTAGACTCGCTGTCTTTGACCAGTCGATTGAATCTCTCAAGCGCAAGTGCGGGATCCTTGATTCCGACGAAGTCTTTTTGGATGTCTTGTGGTAGTGCGTCGTTGAATCCCTTGTAGATGCTAGCGAACAGCGCCCGTGGGTCACTAATGTCTGGTCGATGCCGCATGTTTGAGTAGATAACGTAGATGCTCACTCATCAAGCATATTCCCCGAGCCCGACTGGGTAGATGCCATGGTGTTGCTGGAGCTAGTACGAGTGTACTTCAACTTCAGGCTGACAATCGCTGACGTCCGGGATGTTTGTGCGAACTCTCGCGAATCAGATCTCGCCGACTCAAACTACAAAACACATGGGACAAGGAAAGTCCCGGCGCGAGAAGTATAAGAGTGTAGAGAGATTTTGTTAGCTGAAAAATCTCAGGATGTTTCTGGGTATTGATGCTCACATCACGGAGTGACGTGTTCTGGTCATCTGCTAGCGCCACCACGCGCAGTCAGCGCGGGGCCTACATTGCAGCCTCGCCGCTACTAGATCATTTTAATGTTCTGCTGATGACAATAAAATAAGGTCTTTTGATCAACAAGGATGCCATTGATGTGCGCAGTCTGATCATTGCTGGTAACTGTCAAACATACGCAGAGGAACGGGGTAATATCTCTCTCATGTACCGTTTCCAGCGTATTAGTGAAGGTCGAATGGAGGCAAAGGCGAGATGAACAAAGACAGCATGCTTAATCGAGCAAATGTCTTGGGAATATTCATACTTTTCTTCATGGCCTCGACTGCGCAGGTGGCACCCGTTGGAGAAGCTCCATGGAGAGTCCTATGCCGGACCACGCCCATTGCCGTGAAATCAGCATAGACTCGCGGCCCATTCTTCGAAGCACTGCAATTCTGATAGCAACCCATGCCTGGTTTGTGAACATCTGCGTTCGTGGTCTGGATGGAATGAAGGAACAGGATGTTGGTCACGCTTCTGTTTTCACCGCATCAGCCGTGTTCGACACAAAGGGAAGGATCAATGCGCGAGGGAAACATGCAGCGACAATCCTGTCTTTTGGGTATATTCGTAGTCCTCATAGCTTCGATAGCGCTGGTTCCTTCTGAGCTAGAAGCTTCCTATCTGATAGGCCTTCCTCAAATCTGCCCACGTCGTGATGCGCCCGTAACGAAGTGCAGTCCTCATAGCACACTATTGTACAATTGCTGGTCACGGATTTCTTCCACGACTCGTCCAGATCGGTGTCTTATTCGCCTTATCACGCCCTCATGCTCATTTCGCCTTATTCTTCGCCGCCTCCGCCTCTCTCCTCGTCGCATCCTCCAACAACGCCGTATCGACCGCGCCCGAGGGCAGATGAACGTATCGCACTACCGAGCCGCGGATGAACATGTCTTTTGTCGAGCACTACACAACACGCGAATTAGCATTTGCTCCAATTCCTCCGCACAACCTTCACGCTCTCTTGCTGCTGTTCTTCCACAGCACACCACAGAGCATTTCCTCCCCAGACCACCCCTCTACATCCCTTCCTACCCCCCCCTCCCCCCCCATAGTGAGGTAAAAGTAGGTATTGACGTACCAAATGCGGCCATCGCATCTCATCCACCGCCTCGGCATTATCCAGCTTGATGTTCAAATACTGGTCCACGCTCTTGAGCGTCCCGCGGATCTGGACTTCGTTCTTGAGTTCGACGGTGATTTCATGCTCGACGAGCGTTTTGAAGAAACTATATCACACCAACATCAGCTTCTGGTACTTTGTTGCTGTTACTGCGCGCGGTGCGTGCGGAGACATTGATGAGGCGCACGGACCTGAAGAAAAGCATTGTGGTGGATACGGTTTTGCGCAAATGTTGTGGGCGTGTTTTCGGAGGGGTCGGAGAGCAACAGGGTCGTAATTGCGCGCGTGGTGTTGTGGTCGTCAGTGACGGAAGCTCGAAGTTGACAGAGCTTGGGCCGCGTGGGGTTCGCATGGCGCCGATCTGCCGCAGGTCACGTGCTTCCCACCTTCACCACATTACCTCATCCACACTATACCAGACTCACTTAGCACGCAAAGGCAAAGCCAATTTGGTTGATACTTTCTCAATTTTATCTCATTTGCCAACAAAAGAAACCTTGTCGCTAAGGTGGTATCAATCCAATTCCCATCCCTTCCAAAACACCGTTGGCTATGCTCCTATATCCATTTCATATCGCCGTGTCTCGTAACACAATTACTTCCTCGCATAGCCAGTCAACGTCCTCCACGCTGTGTTGTTCTGCGCACCCTCCTCGAGCATCTGTACAACACCCTCGAGCAACTTCTCCTCATCCTTGCCCATCTCCATCTGCAACTTCAGGAGCCACTTCTCCCACGCCCAGCTACCGACAATACCGGTGAGCATGGCGGCGTCAATGGTGGTGCCAGAGATCCCGGCGTTCACAAGTTCGACCTGTCCATCAGCGGAGATGGTCTTTTCCTGCTCAGTGGCATGGGCACCGACGTTGAGCGCCTCGCGCCAGTTGGCGGCGGTCTTGCCCATGGCCCGCACCGTCCAGGTACGCTGGACGTCCTTGAAGCCAGCCT